AACCTTTTTTGGTCCTGGGCCGGTCCCCTGAAGTCCTTGTCTCTGCTGGGCTGAGGGGGGGGGGAATGGCAGTGCGCATGCTCATGCACGCGTGCATGCGCACCCCGCCACCATGCACGACCCCCCTGCATGCCGCCGCCGCCTCCGCAGCACACGCAGTCGCTGCAGTGCACGCTGCGGCCGCCATTTTGAAAATCAAAATGGCAGCCGTGACTCGTTTGCGCATGTGCAGTATTCCTGCGCATGTGCAAACGCATCACGGTCGCTATTTTAATTTTCAAAATGGCGGACACGGCACACGCGGCCACACGGAGGAGAAAACGCGGCGTACGGCGGCGGCAGGGATCAGCCTGGGCCGATAAGTCCGGCAACCTGGGCCGGAACCGGCCTGGGGTCCGTAGGTTGCCGACCCCTGCTCTAGGGCCACAATAAACTACAATTCCCAGGATTCCCTAGCACTGAGCCAGGGCAGTTAAAGTTGTCTCAAACTGGATTATTTCTATATTTTGGACCTATGATTCCTGAGCTGGTGGAATGTGACTGCTGTCCTGAATGACATTTCAGGACAGGCAATACCTGGTGAAAGCTGGACAGTGAAGAATACTGACAGGAAGAAAATCAACTCATTTGAAATGTGGTCTTAGAGGAGAGTTCTACAGATATCATCTTTCACCAGGAGTTCAACAACTTCCACTCTTGCATCAGCCTGAGCCTGAAACAATCCACACAACAAATTCACTTTCTTGACACTACTGTGCAACTGCACAACAGATTTCGAAGCACCACACTCTTATCAAAAACCCAATGTTACCCAAATGCAAGGGTCTGAGAGGGCACCCACAATTAATATTCAAATGGGGGAATTTTATTAGCTGAAGTGACATTAGCAAGAGGGCACAGGCAACTAAAGCAGGGATCAAGCCTGTGTATAACAATTCTGAGAAATTGTCTAACCCAGAGTGCTAGTCTAATTGTAGTTTTATTTGTAATCAATAGAATCGCTATTCATGAAAGACATTCACTCACACACACATCCAAGGACTAATGATATAAAGCAGGGGTCCCCAAACTACAGCAAGTACAATTCCAGATCCTCTGTGTATTAATCCAACAATATATATATATATATATATATATATATATATATATATATATAATGTTATTTTCAATAATTTCATTTAAGTTTTAATTTTATTTTTTTAAAAAAAGCACTTAGCATCATAAAATATCCTAAATAATATCAGTCATAACACATAATTTTCCAATATACATATTTACAATTGACTGCCCATGTTCATCCAGTTTGTATTAAATCTTTTTCATTTAAATCTTATTGTCTTCACCTCAAGTACAATTCCAGATCCTCTGTGTATTAAACCAATTATATATATATTATTTTGATCATTTCATCTAAGTTTTAATTTTATTTTTTTTAAAAAGCACTTAGTATCATAAAATATCCTAAATAATATCAGTCATAGCACATAATTTTCCAATATACATATTTATTATTGACTTCCCATGTCCATCCACTTTGCATTAAACTTTTTTCATTTAAATCTTATTGTCTTCACTTCAGCACAATATTAATTCCAGATCCTCTGTGTATTAAACCAACTATATATATTGTATATATATTATTTTCGATCATTTCATCTAAATTTTTAACAAAGTCATTACAAATTTAAACTCTCCTTCTTACAGTAGTGTAGTATTGGGATTCAATCCTGTTCCAACCTTTTTTTTTTTTTTTTTTTGTATTTTGTTTGTGTAATCTAGCAGTTAATAGTACATCCATACTCATTTTTGTTACTTTCCAGAACCACTCACTGATTGAGGGTATTTCTGTTGATTTCCATTTTTTAACTAATCTCATCGCTGTTATCATAGAATAACAATCTACCATAATTTTGTTTTCTATCTCAAGTGATGCCTTTTTTACCAGAAAGTCTGCCACCCTTCTCTTTGACTGTTATACTTTTATATTGAAATTTTAGTAACTCTGTAAGAGTAACTTTGAGTGACTCTATAGTAACTTTGTAAGAAGCAGATCCACGAAAAACTTCTTAAAAAAATAAAGATTGCTGTTGGTAGTGTGATTTAAATACTAAGTATAAGGTAAGAAAAGAAAATCACAAAGTGAAGAGTGAAACGGAAGAAATTGGTGCTCAACCATGATGAATGTAGAAGGTTTTTAGTCTCACAAATATAACTAATTACTAGAAATGACTAGCATGTAAAGAATACCATTGGCTATCGTTTATTTGTATATTATAGAGGTTATAAATAAAATAAACTTCTTCAAAAAAGTAAAGATTGCTGGTGATAGTGTGATTTAAATACTCTACCAGTCTGCAAAGACCGTAAGTAAGGTAAAAAGAAAATCACAAAGTTAAAAGTGAAAAGGAAGAAATTGGTCCTCAACCATTATGAACGTAGAAGGTTTTTATTCTCACAAATATAACTAATTACTAGGAATGACTAGGATGCAAATAATACCATTAACTATCTTTTATTTATATATTATAAAGGTTATCAATAAAATAAACTTCTTCAAAAAAGTAAAGATTGCTGTTGATAGTATGATTTAAATACTAAGTAAGGTAAAAAGAAAATCACAAAGTTAAGAGTGAAAAGGAAGAAATCGGTCCCCGACCATGATGAACATAGAAGGTTTTTATTCTCACAAATATAACTAATTATTAGAAATGACTAGGATGCAAATAATATCTTTAACTATCTTTTATTTGTATATTATAAAGGTTATAAATAGAATAAACTTCTTCAAAAAGTAAAGATTGCTGTTGATAGTGTGTGATTTAAATACTAAGTAAGGTGAAAAAGAAAATCACAAAGTGAAGAGTGAAAAGGAAGAAATTGGTCCTCAACCATGATGAACGTAGAAGGTTTTTATTCTCATAAATATAACTTAATTATTAGAAATGACTAGGATGCAAATAATACCATTAGCTTTTATTTGTATGTTATAAATAAAATATTAAAGCTCTGCCACCCCTTCTCTTTGACTGTTATACTTTTATGTTGAAATTTTAGTAACTCTATAAGAGTTTTATTTGTATATTATAAAGTTATAAATCAAATAAACTTCTTGAAAAGGTAAAGCTTGCTGTTGATAGTGTAATAAGGTAAAAATAAAATAACAAAGTTAAGAGTGAAAAGGAAGAAATTGGTGCTCAACCATGATGAATGTAGAAAGTTTTTATTCTCACAAATATAACTAATTACTAGGAATGACTAGGATGCAAATAATACAATTGGCTATCTTTTATTTGTATATTATAAAGGTTATAAATAAAATAAACTTCTTGAAAAAGTGTGATAAGGTGAAAAGAAAATCACAAAGTTAAGAGTGAAAAGGAAGAAATTGGTACTCAACCATGATGAACGTAGAAGGTTTTTATTCTCACAAATATAACTAATTATTAGAAATGACCAGGATGCAAATAATATCTTTAACCATCTTTTATTTGTATATTATAAAGGTTATAAATAAAATATTCAAGCTCTGCCACCCAGCCTGGTGATCAAGTGGTTAATCCAGAGAGCTCTGAGTCTCAGAGAGGCAGGAAATGCAAACAATGGGAAAAGGGGGGTAGATTCCTGCCCTACAACTGAGCCTTTGGGGAGAAAGGGGACCTTGGCCTGCAACTGGGGTGAGTTTCCTTTTTGCAGAGGCAATGGGCTGGCAGTGCCAGGGCACCTGGGCATATAAGGGGGGCATGGGAAGAGGTGGAGCAAGGATGCATGCAGCAGCTGCAAGGACAGAGATAGAGAGAGATGCCTGGCAAGGCAAGATCACATCCCCCAAACCCATTGCAAGCCCTGGATTAGGATGGATCACCAGATAGGTCCTCCTCACTGCAAAGGAGGACCATGCATTGCCAAATGTAGTGGCTTTCAGGAAAAAAAAATATATGGAGGACATTGCAAAAGAAAAAGCTGGAAAAAGCACTCTTAAAAATGTTAAATATTTGTCATGCTTCTTAGTCCTGCTCAAAAGGGAAGGCACTTTGGGAATCCCTCCTGGGCAGAGAATAAAAGCTGGAAACACTACTATCTATATGGATGCCTTCTTAGCCCTGCTCAGAATGGAGGACATTTGGGGATTCTTCCTGGATAAAGAAATAAAAGCTGCACATACTATAAATGTAAATTCATGCTTCTTGGCCCTGCTCAAAATGGAGGAGATTTTGGGATTCTTCCTGGACAGAAAGTATAAAGGCTTAAAACACTAACAGAAATGTAAGTTCATGTTTCTTAGCCTTGCTCAAAATGGAGGAGATTTTGGGACTCCTCCTGGACAGAAAATAAAAGCTAAAAACACTACTATTGATGCTTCACAGTCCTGCTCAAAATGGAGGACATTTTGGGATTCCTCTTGGACAGAAAATATAAAAGCTTATAACACTAATAGAAATATAAGTTTGTGCTTCTTAGCCATGTTCAAAATGGAGGACATTTTGGGATTCCTCCTTGACAGAAAATATATTACAAATACTATTAATGTAACTCATATATAAATGGAAATTCATGGAAATTCATTCTTAGTCTTGCTCAGAATGGAGAATATTTGGGAATTCCTCCTGGACAGAAAATAAAAACTAAAAACACTACTATTAATGTAAGTTTGTGCTTCTTTACGATGCTCAAAATGGAGGATGTGTTGGAATTCCTCCTCCATTTCTGACTTATGGCAACCCAAAGGCAACCCTATTAACAGGGGTTTCTTGGCAGGTTTCTTCAGAGAGGGTTTGCTATGGCCATCCTCTGAGACAGTGTGACTCGCCCAAGGTCACCCCATGGGTTTACATGTTGTTGTTGTTGTGTGCCTTCAAGTCATTCCCAACCTATGGCAACCCTAAGGGGGCTTACCCTATCATGGGGTTTTCTTGGGAAGATTTATTCAGAGGAGGTTTGCCATTTCTTCCTCCTGAGGCTGAGAGAGTATGACTTGTCCAAGGTCATCCAGTGGGTTTCATAGCCTTGAGCGAGGAATCCAACCCTGGTCTCTAGAGTTGTAGTCCAGCGCTCAAACCACTATGCCACACTGGCTGTCAACATTGCTCCCTACAGCTGGCATTTAGGGGTAAACTGCCTTGGTCTATGGAGGCTCTAGTCTAAATCCTTCCCGTATCAT